TAAACTTTCTGAATAACAAGATTTTAGCCTTGTACAACAGCCCTTATTCCAGAAAATAGTTTTTGGCGCTCACTGCTTGAATACGAAAAGAAATCTCTCTAAATAAAATATCTCTTGAAACGTCGGTTGAAAAGGAAAAAAATAAAAAATATTCAGAATTATCGAAAAACTGAGAATGCAAAAAATCTCCAATTGGAGCTAAATAAAAACTTAAGTTGGTGAGAATGTTTACAAAAGGTAAAGTAAAATGCCAAGAAACGATGGAAATGTGTTCTATAACACCTTGATTTTTGTCCTAAAACAGATGAAATCCGTTGAACAGATTTTCAAAATTCTGCAGAAAAAATGAGTTAGTTTTTATTGATCAATTTTATATCAATATCATGTTATACTCTCATGCAATTACTATGTTTTTTTGTGTGTTTTTACCGTTGTTAAGCACCCTGCAACGTCGAAATTTAAAAAAAACTAATAAACTATAGAAGATGCAGGTGTTAATATAATGTCTTTATTCCAAGGCATTTCGATGTACTGTTCACTAATGAAATAGGTCTATAGCTCTAGATTTGAGTCCACTCAGCTATATAATCAATGTGTATAATCAACTCTTTTCAAACCTCAGAGTCATTATGAATATTGTTCAGGTCAAACGTGTTTGAATTGAAATAAAAATATATTATAAAGTTTTCAAGGGGAGCAACGTTATATTTATGAAGAAAAGCCATTCAAATTTTCCGGGTTCTCCGGCTGTTTTCCTCCCTCCACAAAAATCAACTCCTAAATTCCAATTGGAATTTCAGCGGATGAAGAGCCACTCTGTGAATATGCCACTGCTAAGCTTATTATTTATTTGCGTCCTATTTTGTTTTATTTATTAAAAGTGTTTTTCATCGTCACCTCTGGACGTTCCAATGGTTCTCACGAGCATGCTATCCGAAAGATGTTGTTAACAGACTATGACAAGACAGTGCGGCCTCCGCCATCTGCCCAAAACATATCAGCAATAATAACTGTCGAGTTTGGTTTGATGATCAACAGACTTGCTGAACTGGTTCGTATGTTCATATAAATTCGATTTTCGGTATTGGTAAATGAATTAGGTGTTGGAAAAGGCAACGGGCAAAGATTTTCGAGGCTTCTAAGTTGGGGTCCTTATCCCCTTTCCCAGCCCCCATTTTGATCAAATTCAATAATTCAAGCCTATGTTTTGCTCAATTCTCAGTCCCATTTTTGTTTGTGAATCCCATTCCCAGTGAACATTTCCCAGCCCAATAAGGGCGAATCCCAGCTCCCATTTTACGTACACCTTCAGGACCATCATTTTGACATGCGGTTCATTTGCGGTTCATTTTTGGTGTTGGCTTGAATGAAATTGTGCCACTGATAAATACAAAAAGAGAGATCTAGAGAGGAAGGAAGGGAGGGAAGGTGAGGGGTGAGAGGGAGGTTGGAGGGAGGAAGAAATGAAATAAAAACGAACGAAAGAGCGAAAAAGACAAAAAGACACACTGAAGAATATAGAAAGAAAGCAAGAATAGAGGAGCGAGGAAGGAAGGAAGGAATAAGGAAGGTGAGAAGCAATTAAGAATAAAACAAACGCAAAAAGGACAAATAAAAATAGAGGGAAAAAAATCATCAAATTTAATCAATGAGAACAATAGTCTTTATTGCACTGTCTTGGCTTTTATTATTATTATTATTATTATTATTATTATTATTATTATCATTGTTTGTTTGTTTGTTTGTTTTCACTTTATTGTTTCTTCGTCTTTGTTAATATTATTATTCTCGTTCTCACCAATACAGGACAGTATAGAGGAGCTGTTAACTGTAAGCACGTGGGTCGTAATGGTAAGGTCATAAAATTAATACTTTAAGAACCTAAAGGCCGGAAACTATCAATTTGACTGTACAGTATAAGATGCCAAAGGTTTACCTTTATCCTATTTAGAATACTCAACACTCTGGGCAAACAATGTCTGAGCTGATCTAAGCCAAGTATGGTTAACTCATGTCACACTACACGAGGCCTAGATAAAGATGTCTATTAAGGACAATGTGTGATGTAACTGGGTTTTTTTTTTCAGCTTCGCAGAGGTGGAATAACTCATTCTTGTCTTGGAAACCAAAACAATTTGGAGGAATGCAAAGAGTACATTTTCTACCATCAGAAATATGGTTTCCTGACATCGTTCTTTACAACAAGTGAGTTGGCTAACTATGATACATATAATAATACTACCACTACCACTACCACTACCA